TATCGATACCCTCAGCTAGGGTAGTACTGATACCCTATAGTGGGTACCAATACATCTTCAAAGGGAAATTGAAAATAGACTTTTCTTTTAGCTTTAGAAAATTAAAGATTGAATTGTAATAATTGGAATGTTGATATGTATACATGATTGTGTAGATATCGATCGAGAGCAACGTTCGGACAAGTCAATAAGAAATAGGCATCGAGATAAGATATGAAAACGATATTGACTAGTGAGGCCAGTTGAGTGCATATTAGTTGATATATGATGTTTAAAGGAAATAAGACTTGCGATGAGTCTATTTCCTATATTATGATGCATGAATTCATGAATATAGGCATGTATTGATATGATTGTATGTGTTATATGTATTGGTATATGATATATGATATAAATGAGTACATGTTAGTGTAATTGTGAATAAGTATAAATGAGATATGTGATGATATGAGAATCTGTTATAAGATATATGATATGAACATGAGATATGTGATTGTGAATGAAATGATATGTTTATATGAATATGAGAAAAGGCATAGGTGACATGTGAATTATATGGAAGTGAACTACGTGATCATATAAAAATGTGATAAAGAGCTATGCGAAAGAACTATGTGATATGAATGTGTGAATGTGTAATAAGATAAATGATAATGTCCATGTTATGTGTCATGAGAGCTAGAGGTATAGTTGGCATGCCAAGAGTCGAGGGTTCTACGTGGTCCTTCGGGACATAGTGGTCCTTCGAGACATTTTATAATGGTCATTAGGGACAAATTCATATGCCCCTAGTGGGACCTTATACGAGCTGTGGTGGCAGCATAGTGCACAACCTCTATGTACTCACATATCTATAGTTCTCACATTTGTACATGGGCTAATAAAGAGACAAAATAAATAAATCTGGTATAATGATATGTTGGTTTCTTTGTGCAGTGATATATGTGTTATATGATGTTAATGTGTATATATATGGTAAGTAAAGGGTCATATGATAAAATAGATTAATGAAAATGCTAAGAAAAATAATAAGAATAATGAAATGATATGTATATGTATGTATGTATTTATGTTTTGATGCATAATGTATTCTATAATTTATTAAGATTACATGGAGTGTGCATAGTAGGAATTAGTAATGATATGTTATTGTAAGTTTATTTATGCCTCACTAAGTCATCGACTTAGCGTGTGAGTGTTTCACACGTAGGTTACGAAAAGCGAGAAGAGAAGCTAAGAGGAGCAAGACAAGTCAGCTCTCCTTTATTATAATCAGATCAGAAAAGAGTTTTGAATCATATGTATTTTATTATTTGGAACTAGTTGGCTTGTAATTAATGTTTTAAATTATATACGCTCTAATTAGTTTTGAAGATACTTTATTTGTAATAATATGAACCTTTATTGAATAAAAGTGGAAATTTTTTATGTTGGTATGCAAGTATAAGTTTTTAAAAGTCAATGTGACACCTCGGACTCGGATCTGTGTCGAATACGGGTTGGGGTGTTACATCGATAGAGCTTTTTTCAATGATCGTCTCAAGGTTGTTAAACCTTTTAATGGGTCAAGCTCTGATACAAATTATTGTGATTTCGATGAAACTCAAATTGAATGATCGAATAATGTGCCAAGAGAAGGTGAATTGTCTTTTTTTAGTATATGGAGTAAGGAGTAAAAAGATTAGGCAATTTGCACAATGATTTATAGTGGTTCGACTTCTCAACCAATTCTACATCCACTACTTTAGCTCCTCACTAAGGATTTTCTAACAAATTCACTAATTTGTTCTTTCTTTTTCCAGGATAAAGATAACCTTTACAACTCCCTAGCTTTTCAAAGGCTAAGCTAGAACCAATCCTTTTTACAAAAGGAATAAGAAGTAAATAAGAAAAATATCTCAAAAGGAAGAGTGTTCACAAGATTTAGGCTCACGATAAAACAATTAAAAGATTTGCAATGAGCTCAAAACACAAATATTTACAACATAAAGAAAATAAAGATTGAAAAACTTTTCTCTTGTGTATGAATGCTTGGATAGGTGTTGGTCAACCTTCTTCAAGTGTCCTAAACTTGTTTTTATATATTGAAATGACTTTGTGGCCGTTTCTAGTCGTTGAGGATGTTTTGGAGCCGTTGGGGATTAATTTTCTGCAAAATAAAATTGCCCATGACATGGAGTATCGGTACTCCTTTATTGAGTATCGGTACTACCTTTGTAATTTTTGAAATAAACTAGCCATTAAAGACCATTGGGCTTGACCAATATCGATACTATGCTTCATGGTATCAATATCACTGTGTAATGTATTATATGTACCCCTTTGAGTATCGATACCTATTTTTGCATTCTGGAATTTGAGCAATTTACAAAACAACTGGTAGTATCGATACTACCTAAAGAGTATTAATACTTCTCTTACCTTTGGTATCGGTACCACATGAACAATATCGATATTATTCATGTAGTATCGATATTATAAGAACAGTATCGGTACTATGTACTCAGAAAACTGTTTTGTGCTCAAATTCTAGTTTAATGGACTTTGAATTATTTTTTGAAAACTTTGAACAAATTCAAACAAGTCAAAAAAAAAACATTTTGTCTTAATTTGTTATATCAAAATATTATAAAACATGGTTCAACAATATACATTTCAATTAAAGAGATAGGTCAAAGACAATACATCAACTTATTAAGCGCCTATAAAGAGGGTTAAAAATATCTCTAGTTAAAATTCCAAATAAATCAACCAGTTGGTCTAGTGGGATGAGGCATTAGATTCCTTAAGCAAGGTTAGGGATTCGAACTCTGGCGTTTGCGAATGGAGCAAACTGGGTTAAGAGGGTTGTCATCGCCTCTGCAGTATCCAATCTGAATTTATGAATGAGATCAGAACATTTTCAAGGCATGATATCTTCTTGAAAGTGGACCAACTTTCATTTAGCTTTTCAACACCTTTTGGAATACCTCAATCGGACATTATGATGTTTATTTTAACGAAGATAACACATGCAGAAAATTGAATACGAGTTCAATACGAGAATTTTAATTTATTACGATTTTTTAATTATTTTTTTATTATTTGTAATTAAATTCAACTTTAGATTTTCTTTTATTTATTTAGGATAATTTAAGATCTTATCTATATATTTATTTTCTTTTAATTCGTGTATCTAGTTTTAATGAAAAAGATGCTAGAATTTTCTTTAGGTTTTTTGGATGCCTATAAATATTAAATAGATATCCATCTTATATAAATGAAAAAAAAAGGAAAAGAGATGAGGGAGTCACCCAAAGCATTGTAATTCGAGAAACAAGAGCAATAAAAGAAAGAATTTATTTGCAACTCGAATTTTCATTTCCGCAATCAAGACAACTTATAATCGTGTTGGTATTGAAAGGGCGATGTGAGGTCTCATCCTTTTTCACACGTAATCAATTCCCAAACTATTCCAAGTGAATCTCTGGTAAGATGCAGATTCGGTAAAAGATAAAATTTAAGAATTCGACTTTACCTAATTCAAAAAGGTAGATTATTCACTTTAAGTCGAGATTCGATCTTAGACCTCTCGAATGACCATTATGACACCTCCAACGTTTTAATTTTTTATCAAAATAATTTTGTTGGATGAAAATCGTTAGTTGACTAACGAGTGGAAAAGTATACCATATCATTGCTTTGGATGACGTGACATATATCGTATTATCATTTTTGATTACATGACACATGTTACGTAATCAATTATACATATATAAAAATATCACGTTAACATATATTTACCATTAGTCGAATAATAACTTTCATCTAATAGAGACTATCTTGACAAAAAATTGTAACATTAAGTCTAAATGATCTAAAAAATATAAAATAAAATAATTATTTGAAAAAACACTGGAAGTTAATTTTATCATTATACTTTATTTTATTCATTAAATTCTCACCGTTGAGATTACGTGACCAGCGCATCAACGGTGTAATTTTTTTTCTTAAAATTTCTTAATAATGTTTTGGTATATAAATATTGATGTATAAACAATGTAATTCTGATGTACGATAATTTAACTTAAAATTAGTTTAAGGCAGTTTTTAACAAAATTGTTATATTGTATAGCTTAAAAATTAGAAAACTCGTAATATTCTCAATTATAATTGAAAAAAAATAATTAACAATCAGTTGATTTAGTGGGATGAGACACTAGGTCCCTTAAGCAAGGTCAGGGGTTCAAATCTTGGCCTCAACAGTACCCAAACTGGATTAGTCGATCAATAGATCGAATACCAGTAATTAATTCAAAAAAATAATTGAAAAATTATATTGCAACGGATTTAGGATTACAATAAAAACAAATTATATAATTTACAATAATTTCGATTACAACTGAAAATATTATCAACAATGTAATATTTTTTATTTCAACTTAAAACCCAAAAAATTATATTTTTTAATAAAATTTTTGATTTTAATCAATTTATATTGATTTTAACTTTATATTAACAAGTTATATTTTTATACTCTCCTTAATAAATACCATTGTTATCAACAACCAGTTGATCTAATGGGATGAGATACTAAATCTCTTAAATTAAGTCAAAGATTCAAATCCTAATATTTAGAGGAAACTAAAATTAAGAGGGTTACTATTGCATATGCAATACCTTATTAACATTAGTTGATCAATTAATAAGAAATTGATTATTATAAAAAAAGAGAAAGAGAGAAAAAACACCGTTGCTATTCTATGTCCTTTGGTTGGGAATCAATTATAATAACAATCATACATGCAAGGCCGATGTCGTGGGACTCCTTGCTGTCGCCACGTGCAAAGCCACAGAGACTTTTGAAATTACAGAACTACGCATCCCTCTATCCTAGCCGTTACAGCCTTTTTATATTTGTCAATCTCAATCATCGCCAAGGTAATAACAAGAACTATTCAGAACATTTTCGTAATTTAGTCTTTCCCGTCTTCTCCTATTCTTTTTTTCTCATTCACAGTGAAAATCAGTCCCCCAAAAATCCAACAGCTCCACACTCACACTTTCACTCTCAACTTCATTGTTTTTCTCTTTGGTTTCTCGTAATTATTTCGCTTAGGGTTAGGGTTTTTTGCCTTTTTTTTATTTTTTTCGTTAAACATGGCTTCGACGTCGTCTTCGGATCCTGGGATGAAAGCGGAAGCCAGTGGCGGAGAGAATTCGGAGACTGTGATAGCAAACGATCAGCTTTTATTGTGCAGAGGGTTGAAGAAAGCGAAGAAAGAGAGGGGCTGCACTGCTAAAGAACGTATCAGTCAGATGCGGCCTTGCACCGCCGGCAAACGCAGTTCCATTTACCGAGGAGTCACCAGGTAAAAAAGGAAAACAAATCAACTACTGAAATTTATTTACTTATTTTAAAAGTTTTTGGTTTTACTTGCTTGGTTTACTTGAAATCTCTACTTTATTATTTAAATAAAAAGATCATAAGGATGGAGTTATAGTTTATGTAAAGTTGATGTATGAATCTGTGGAAATCTGATTTTTTATGTTTAGTTTATTAGATTAATTGATGGGAGGAAGGTGGAAGTTTCAAATGGTTTTTGATGGATTTGATATGGATTCCGCTGGTTTTAGCTTTGGGCATTTGTAATTGTTGCTGGAAGTTATCACTAAAGTTAGCACTTAGCAGTCAAATTGATCAAAGCCGTAGCTTTTGGACTGTAAAAGGAACTGAATTGTGAGAACTTGTCGATTTGTATAGTTTATCATTGTTGTGAGTACAGGAAAATTGGTGGTGAAAGTTCAATGGACACGATTGATGCCTTTGATGTGTTTGATAATTGGTGCTTGAGACAGGTAAGAAGGAAACTTCAGAGAGAGATGAAGTTGGAAATTTTCCTTTGATTAATTGACCAGGATGCTGCGAATGGCCGTGTATGTGCTGAGCCTCCTAGGGAGGGCACAAAATGATAGCATATTAAGTCTTCCAGCGTTTGAAAAGCGTAATGCAGAAAAGTTTGGGAGAAAAATATCAATAGATTTTCACTTAGGTACACAAAGTGGTCACTGAAAGACCTAGAACTAGGAGAGATGTTAATTCTAATTTCAAAATTTTCTAGTGTGTATGTTTATTTTTCAGTTGTGAGCATGTATTGGAGTACTAATCTGCAAGTAATAGTTTAAGCTAAGGTAATCAAAGTATGCGTACAACAAGGATAGCGTTTCTTAAAGCTATTCGTATTTCTAGATCACATAGGTTTCTGTGGTTTACAATTGATATCCTGTCTATTAGGGATGATTGCAAGTTGAAGTTGAGTTGAGATCTATACTAAATAGATAAACTTCCATTCTGAAGGAAATAAAGATTCCATTTAATCCCACAACCTTTCGCTTGGGTGATGCTTCTTTTACAGTTGCATGTCTTTTGAAACTACTAAAGAATTTTAATACCATTTCATTCCTGTTCATGGGTGATTGATGTTTGTGGTTCAACATTGATGTAATAGGCATAGATGGACTGGTCGTTATGAAGCTCACCTTTGGGATAAAAGTACTTGGAATCAAAATCAGAATAAAAAGGGGAAGCAAGGTCTGTCTCTCTACCTTTCTCTCTTGTATTAGATGTGAAGCCTAGTTATTGCAACTTAATAATTAATATTTCTCATGGAAACTGACGATATTTTTATTCTTATTTGGTGCATTTGATGATTGGTATTTGGCTATTGCCAGTCTACTTAGGTAAGTTAGAAGATTCACGTCTTTATTTTATTGAACATGTTTTTCCATTCATTCTATTATTTTCTATTTATTAAGAAACATATTTTCAGGGGCATATGATGAGGAGGAGGCTGCTGCAAGGGCATATGACCTTGCTGCTTTGAAATACTGGGGTCCTGGGACACTTATTAATTTTCCTGTAAGATGGCCACAGCACCAAAAGTAGATGAAGTAGATGCTTTGAAATATTGGGTCCCGGAACGCTCATCATGTTTCTTTCCTACTAATTGAAAATAATTCAGTTAATGTGTAATTCTAATACCGTACCAAAATCATATCACTTTTGTCAATTTGATACTAGAGGGTAGAATTCACGATCATGTATTCAAACATGAATTCTATCTAGCACATTTCCCCATCGACTAATATGTTAGTGGAAAAAAGTACTACCTGTCATATTATTTATAATCTTTTTTCAAAAATCTTTTTTAAATAAAATATTTTTAGACTTAAAAAAATCCGAAATTGATTGTTTTATACAAATTAAATATCTATTTCTTGCATTATATATAATATAAATATATATTTTGAAAAAAGGTCAAAAAACGTTTTCTTTTCATAAGATTTTAACTTTTGCCTAGCAATCATGGGTTTGCCTTTCAGTTCTTACTTCTTACTCCTATTTTTGATATTCAAATATGGCATTTTAAACTTTTGTTTCACCTTTTAGGGGACATGAAATTGATACCATTTTCACTTTTTCTTCTTTCTCCGATTTTGTTTGGGTGAGTTTCGTACTTTTTGAGGAAAAGTGAGTGTATTCAAGAGAGCTGGCTTGGCACAAAGAATATATTCATCACCTTTTTGCTTTAACCCTCAGCTACCTGAAATCGAATGTTCTAAAGCAAGGGAATTTATGTGCAGGTTACTGACTATACTAGGGATCTTGAAGAGATGCAGAATGTGTCAAGAGAGGACTACCTTGCATCTCTTCGAAGGTGTGTGCGAACTTTAGAATTCTGTATTCCAGTTTAGAACTGTTTACTTATAACTCCTCTATTTACAGAAAAAGCAGTGGTTTCTCAAGAGGAATTTCTAAATATCGTGGGCTTTCAAGGTACAATTTTATCATATCTATCCATTTTCATGCTGCAAACATGTATTTTGTACCATCCAGTTAGCTAGTTTAAAATATTGGTGACTTAATTGCTGCTTAAACTTCCACTTTTAGTTTTCACACCTAATTTTGGATGTGTCTAGTAAATTTCAGAATTCAACAACCCAGACAAGCCATTGCTGCCAGAATTGTCACCTTGATTGTGAATATTCTAAATCCTGCTTAACCCGAAATCCAGTTAAAGTTAAACTAAACAACCTTTTTTCATGTAATACAACAGTTTTGATATTTATTTATCCATCTGTTTTCCACAACCACCAAAAGAAAATATGTTCTATTTAGTAGTTTGTATTCTGCCTAGAACTTGCCAAACAACTTGAAGGTCTGCACAATGTCATACTTCAATTAGAAATACAAGTGGATAAGTTAGTGTCTCAGCAGCTATTCATAACTTTCCTGTGAAACTGTTCCATTAGATTCTTGATGGGAATTTGAACTCATCTATCTTCCAGGAATTGTATTCTGCCTAGAACTTGCCAAACAACTTGAAGGTCTGCACAATGTCATACTTCAATTAGAAATACAGGTGGATAAGTTAGTGTCTCAGCAGCTATTCATAAACTTTCCTGTGAAACTGTTCCATTAGATTCTTGATGGGAATTTGAACTCATCTATCTTCCAGGAAAAAAAGTTTCCATGTACATTTTCTTCTCTCAATATTACGTTTTCAAAATGCAAAGAAAACATCCCTTATAGCTGAAAGAAGTCTGAAGAAACAATCATTCGTGTTTTGTTCCCCTTAATATGTTCTGAACCATGCATCATATCCTTTTGAGTTGTATGGTATTGAAGAAGTGTTGTTTATTTTTTATTTCTTGTAAATTTCTTAATATTGTTCACTTCCAACATTTGGGAGCATGGTATCTTTCATATTGTGCATTGGTTATTAATGTTATTTCTCTCCCCTTTTCACTTTTTTTTTTATTATTATTTAATTTTTAATATATGAATCTTTGGCTATCATAGTCGCCGGTGGGGCTCATCATTTGGTCGTGTTTCTGGATCGGAATACTTTAATAGTATACATTATGGTGAGTATGGAATTTAATTTTAAGTTTAAATAACCAGCAACTAGTTTTCTTGGTAGAATGTGAAGTATTTGCACCATCTCTAGTCTATTATAAATTCACATGCCGGTTCCTTGCCCTAGTAACATCCAATTCTATCATGTTAAACCAATTGTGTAGGTGATGATCCTGCCACAGAAAATGATTATATTGGTGGTTTTTGCATCGAGAGAAAGATTGATTTAACTGGTCATATCAAGTGGTGGGGAACCAACAAAACTCGTCAAGCAGAAGCTGGAGCAAAGTCTTCTGAAGAAACTAAACATGCATGTCCAGAAGACATTGGCAGTGAACTTAAAACATCAGAATGGGCAGTGCAGCCTACTGAACCATACCAGATGCCCCGTCTTGGCACATCTCTTGAAGGGACAAAACGTAAAGGGTCCTCTGTCTCTGCCTTGAGTATATTGTCCTGTTCTGCCGATTTCAAGAGCCTGCAAGAGAAAGCTCTAAAAAACCAAGAACAGGATACTGAAAATGATGAGAATGAGAACAAAAATACTATAAACAAAATGGATCTTGGCAAGGCAGCTGAGAAATCAGTAAATCATGACACTGGGAGTGGTAGACTTGAAGCCACAATGGGGATGACTGGTGGATTGTCTCTTCAGAAAAATGTGTTCCCTTTGACTCCCTTCTTGTCTGCTCCACTTCTCACCACCTACAATACCATAGACTCCTTGGTGGACCCTGTGCTTTGGACATCCCTTGTTCCTGCTCTTCCCACTGGACCATCTCATAATCCTGAGGTTGGTATAATTTACATTGATGTTTTATCTCTTTAGAAGAACTAGAATAAAATGATATCATTAATCATAAATTTGATGATGGGTGACAAGACATTGTTGATAAAAGTCTCTAGTAGTACCATAAGCATGATAACCTTTTAGATATCTTTTCTTCTATAAGATAAGCTTTTACTTGTTTATACTAATAAGCTTTAATAACTTCTATCTACCAAATCAACAACCTTTTGAGATTAGCCATCATTATATTAGTTGGTAAAATACAGTATTCATTGCAGTTTTATGGCTGTGGCATGACTATACTTGTAGGGATGGCAATGGGTCGGGTCGGGTCGGGTTTTTGGGCCACCCGACCCGACCCGAGAAGAAAGGGTCTCCACCCGTGACCCGACCCGACCCGACAAAATTAATGTTTCACCCGACCCGACCCGAATATATGACTTAGAACCCGACCCGACCCGACCCGAAAAAAAAAAAATTTTAATTCAATGAAAACAGTGACTTAATTGAAAAAAATTATATATGGAGGGATATTATTGTAATTATCCCTAAATATATAAGATAAAATTATATATATTTTTCGGGTCGGGTCGGGTCAGATTTTTTTTACCCTAAACCCGACCCGACCCGACCCGAACAGTGTATTTAAAAAAACCCGACCCAACCCGACCTGAACCCGAATTTTTTTTAAAAAAATCCGACCCGATCGGGTCGGGTCGGGTCGGAACCCGTCGGATTCGGGTTGAGTTGCCATCCCTATATACTTGTAGTAACCTGCCAAAAGATACTTTTGACGGACCAACCGAAAATGCTTTGTTACGATCTAACTGTGATTTAGTGGCATTAGAGGCTTGTGCCGTGTTTCGTATCGCCTCAAACATTATATATTTCCTAACGATAACGAAAATGGAAGGGTTGTTGACTCATTGTTTCTGGATATTTGAAACTAAATATTATCTCCTTGAGGTGCGCAGATGGTTATGTAAGTTGTAAGCTCCCTAATTCTTCTTCCTTACTAGAGAACTGATTCCATGCAGGTTACGAAGACGGGGACGAGCTCGAGCTCGGCATATACTTTGTTTCGGCCCGAGGAATGAGTGACGAGGGTGTTTTGCTTGAATTCTTATGTTGCAGATTTCCTTTTTTATAAAACACGGGTCAGTTTATCTTAGAATCGGACTTTTGCTTTATTTGTACAAGTTTGTCACCTGAGTTTTGAGAGCATAGGAAAAAAATGCAGTGTATATTGTATAACATGAAAGCTATCCCTGTATCATCTGATAGTATTATATCCACAAGTATGATTCGGTTTTGCAATTGAGCATTTATAAGCCAAAGTCTGATTATGACTAAAAAACAATGGGAAAATGTTATAAATATTATAAAATTTAGGTTTGACGTAATTTAAAATATTATTTCTTATAATATTTTGGTTATAACTTTAAACGTTGCGAAAATATAATAGTTTCGGTTATCAATTGAAAATGTTATAAGCAATATAATATTTATGAAGAAAGAAAATTTTAATATTTTAAGTCGTTTTCAATTTAAAATGTTATAAATTTTATAATAGATTTGTAGGGGTGAGTTATACTCAATTTGAAATTTTGATTTTATTAATTGTAATTTTAAAAATTTGCTCGATTTGAAAAAATTTCAAAAATTAAATTAAATAACTTGAATTAGTGGACTAATTTTCAAGTTTGAGTCTTATATGATATGTATATTACATATGAAAAAATATGAAGAATATATATATATATATATGGTTATAAAAATAATTTAAATTAAAATAAAACAATATCATAATTACAGTTATAATTAAATTTACACAAAAACTCAAATTTGATCCGATTTGAATTTTAAAAAATTTTCTCAACTCGAAAAATCGTTTAGTCACTTCGAATTATAAAATAGGATTCGTAAATTCGAATAATTTAAAAACATTACTCGATTCTATCAAATGTTTACTCTTGCATTTTCGGTCGCGTTTATTTTAATCGTTTTTAATCTTAAATTATTAACTTATATCACATAACTATATATTTTTATTATTAATCTAAGTAAGTACAATGTAGTATCCGTTCAAAGATAACTCCAAACCATTTGATATTGATCGCTCGTATCCGTGATATTGCTAGTGCTCGAATTCGAGACCTTAAGAAATAATAACAAGTCTTTTACCACTGAGTTTATGAGTTCGTGCAACAATACATTTGGAGTTTTAAAAAAAACGCCCTCAGCTTTAAAAAAAATATTAAATTTTTGTTCTAATTGTGATGAGATTTGGAGTTTTAACTTATATACCGCTCAATAATATTGATGTTTTTATATAATCTAGATATTTGTTATATCAATTAAATATTATAAAGTTGTATTACTGGATGGATTTATTATAATTTTAAAGGGAGACAGATTTACAAAATTTTAAAAGAAATAGAAATAATTTTTAATAAAAAATAAATAAAATTTTAATATTTTTAGGAGTGATGTTATTCATCCTTTCAGCTCATCTATGATCGTATTAGAATAATAATATGAAAATGAATTTTATAATGAAGTGAAATAAATTACAAACCGTTTAGTTTTAGAAAATATTTATGTTTTGTTTTCAAATAACGATTTCTATTTTCAATTTTTAAAAATTAGATAACATTTGTTAATATAAAAAAACTTGAATAAAAATAAAAATAATAAAAACTATTAAATAGCAATAAACAAATAATTATTAAATAATTAAATTAAACTATACTTATTAAAAAAATTCATTACATAAATTTAATATGTGAATTATACAAATATAAAACAATAAAGTTGATAAGAAATTTCATAACACAAAAATTATCTTAGTTTATGATAAAAATATAATGTTGATGCATATTAGGCATCAATTAAATTTAAAAATAAATAAAAAATATTATTGCAAGCAAGAGCACACAAAAGTGTCATTAAAATAAAAAATATATGTTTAGTGATAATTGAGGTCCTCAATCTTTTGGGGGAAAACTAGTGTGGTCCCTAAACATTATTTGCACTCAATGAGACTCTTAAATTGGGGGTGGAATCAATCTAACCTTTTAACCAACGGAATCAAACGTTGACATTCACACCGTTTACATGACAATTCACAAAGGTTACATGGCAATCGAGAATATTGATGTTATAGTTCACGATACTGTTATGGTAGTACATGGTGGACGATTATGTGATAAATGAGATTAATTGCTTTTTTGGCTAAGTTCGAGGGCATACTTGATTTTTTTAGAAAATTTGATGTAGACACCTGTTTTGTCTATTTTTTTATTGTTTTTATTTTTTATTATAATGATTAAATATTAATATTATTTTATTATTTTATAGGTCATTACAAAGAAACCCATCAAGCCCAAAGCCCAATTACAAGTGACCCAATAGTAGGCCCAATTTTACAAAATCCTAGCCAAAGTTTTTTTTGGAACCCTAGGGTTTCCATCAGATCAGCTCCCGCCGCCGCCAGCAAAGCCTGTCGTCGACGTCAGCCACTGCCAAGCCGAGAAGCAAACCGCCATCAACGAGCCTCCAAACGTGCCGATCAAGCCACCCCTGTTCAACCATTAACCAAATCCAAACAAATTAGAAATCATATAAAAATCACACTAAATCTCAACCAATGCCGAAAAATCCAGGAACCATAATTGAATTTACCGACTCTCAACCAAAACAAATCCTCATCACCATAAAAATCAAAGTAAAAAAGGGGAGTAGAGTTCCAGAGAGAGGAGATCCGAAAAAAAGGAAAAGAAAAGGAAATCAAATGGGAGCAGAATAAGAAAAAAAAGGGTTCGAACAAAAACAAGAAAAAAAGACGAGACCCGATTTTAAGAAAAAACAGAGGGAAACTTTTCAGAGAAGAGAAAGAGAGATCCAAAATAAAAAAAGATTTTTTTAGAAAAGGAAAAAAAAAAGAAAAGAGTGAAAGAAATCACCTCTCTCGGTCAGAACCCATTCTGCTGGCGGTGAAAATAGGTGTTCGAGAACTCTCATGACAGATTTGAATAGTGAAAGGACAGAGAGAAAGATGGTGAGCAACATATCTCAAAACCAGGACGATCCAACGACAGATGGCGGCGGATCAAAAAGAAGAAAGTCGAACAGTTTTTGGCCATTTTGTGATAATTGGAGCATCCCTTACCTAAAATGACCTAGATCCAAACTCTCCTCGTCGAGATGAGTCTCCCGGTGTGACTTGGTGCCCATCAGTAGCGTCTGACGGCATCACCGGTCGGCAGGAGGCCATGACCGACGATGCAGAAAGGGGAAAACTTCTCTCTAAGGGAAAAAACAAAAGAAAAGAAATGAAACTAAAAAAAGGGGAAGAAAATGGGTATTTATACCTCATCCAAAACGACGTCATTTTTTGTACCTCTGAGCCAACATGCTTTTGAATTCCAGGGGTGAATCATCTCCGCAATCCCTCCAGGTTTTCAAAAAGTTTATTTTAGTCTATATTCCATGAAATCTGGTTTAATTCTTTGTAGTTTGGCCTCTATATTTCACTTTAATGCAATTTAGTCACTTTTCGAGACTTTATTGTCCATCTGATTTGAATCTTTTATTTTGCACATGTTCATTTTAGTCCTTCTTTGATCTTTATGTGTTTAATATCATTTTTAGCCCATGTATTCTTTTGTTTTTTCATATTTATATTAAAGTTATCATTGTTTATTATTTAGTCATTGTTTTGGTGCTTTGATTTATTTGCATGCTTGATCCTAGTTATTTCTGTATTAATTTGGTCTAATTCTTTTTAAATAATTAAAATATGTTGTTTAGCTCCTATGTTTTTGTTGGTCATTCGTTTTAGTTCTTACTTATATATATATATATATATTTACACATATGTATAAATTTTTAGTGATGTTTCCGTTATGTTTTATATATTAAATATAATATATGGTAATATTCTTTGTACATGTTTTTAAAGCGTGACCTTTTTTAATGTATTATGCATATATTTTCATTGTTTATAAATTTGGTTACTTGGCATCATGTGAATGTGTAATTTGGTACATATAACTCTAGGGTTTATTTAAATTAATATGTATGTTACCCTCGTAAGCATTACTTGGATTCGAATCAAATAATGGGATTAAGGTAATATCTTTTTATTTTAAGTTCATTGTAAGTGATTGTCTAATGAATTAGAGGTCACTTCCAATGGCTTAAAATAAAAGGTTATCATATCAAGCGAAACAAATAAAATTAATTTCATTTAAAATTTGAGATTGAGAAAAAGATTGTGTTCTTTTAATTAAATTCACCAAGAAAAGACTGTTAGAATGGATCTAAGGTTTAATCTCGTTGTCTTTAAATAATTGAATATTTTTATTCTCATTAAAGGTTGGTAAATAATTAACTAATCGTATTTGTTTGATATATGTATTTAGTTTTCGTGTTATTTTGTATGTGTTTAAAAGGGGTCCTAAATTAAATTGAATTATAAGTTTTATTGCAAAGACAAATTAATTAATTAGTATCGATTTAGGGCGTTGTGGGGGTACTAATCATTCTCCATGGGTAACCAATTCCCGAACTCAAATGTTTGGTAACTCAAACCTCAAAATTGTTGTTTTAATTAAAAAGTAATATTTTATTAAAACGAAATTTTTTTTTGGGGTCCAATCACACCCTAATCAAAGATTGGTGGCGACTCCATGATCGATTTTATTGTTTTTAAACTCGAGTCCCAAATTATCTGAGGTGAGCATTTTTATAAAATTTTTTAATCGACACCAAATTTTAAAAGGAACGTCTCGAAATTTGATAACTTATTTATTTTTTTTAGAAAAAAATTAAGAAATTATTTAACTTTAAATATATAAAATATAGATAATTATTAAGATATTCAATACATTAATATATAATTATTAAAAAAGTTCACTTTAAATATATAAATTATTCAGATACTTAAATGAAAAAAGTTGTTAGAAAGATTTGAACTCATGTAAGTTAAGTTAAAAATCTAGATCTATTTTTCCATTTTTCAAATTTCAAAAACATTTTAATGAAAACACTGAAAACATCTTTTTAGTTTTTATATTTTCATTTATTTTTGTTTTCATTTTTTTAAAATCATTTTCTAATTTTACAACAAAACACTTTTATTCTACGTTTTATGTTTTCTAAGAAAATAAAAAATATCCTATAATTTTTAAAACCAAATGGACCCTAATTTTCTTATTTGTGCTATATTCGTGGTCATTGTGTATAAAAAAAATCATGTTAAAAAATTTAAA